ACAAAGACGGTGCAGTGGTAACTGCAATTTCCTGATATGATATCTCTCCACAAGCCCTCACTTTCTTGCGTCACGGAACATAAATCGAAAGTTAATTCCTCAGAGGAGTAGAATAATTACAGTAAATCATGCGAGGCATTTTTGCATTGCTCGGTGTTCGATTCATTCTGTCCCGCGGGAGGATGCGCAGTGCAACTCAATTAACGCGAGCTGCGATCGCGAAATAATTTATGAATTCTCTACGTTCTCGAATTAATATTCGTTTCATTGTACATTCTTCACTCATGGTATTTGCATGGATGAAAGTTTGATAAAGTTCTCTTCCGAAGGTCTATAATTAATTGAGAAGCGAAGGATTGATAATATTTCTAACTCGTTGGGCTATTGGCAATCGTCCTATAGTCTGCTCAAGATAGGAGGAACCGTGGAAAATCTAAATTACTTTAATTGCACCATGTTAAAAGAAATATACAAAATACCCTATGAGTGTCTGACTTTGCTGATCGAGGCTCATTTGCAAAGGAAAAGGACTACTAATTTTTAAAACCTTGATGATAAACATAAGTTTTTGCAAATTTTGCAAACATCATTTTCGCAATTCAAAGACAAACATCAACTGAGTAGTAAACATCATTTTCCAATGATACCTGAAGAGCTCTTCAACTCATTGATAGTGTGTGCGAGTGTGCCGTGTTAGAGGAACAAGCCGTATGGACATACGGGCAATGCCAAATTTTATCTCGAAGCATGAGTTTCTAAAACAAAATGTTCAAATGTTTTTCTTTACAATTTTTTTAAGAATTCCACTCAAAAGTTGATGTATTGTATCTAAGGAAATGTAAACCTAACTTTTCTCAAAAATAAATTTCTTATCGGAGGAAAGAGGGTTATTCAAAATCGGCGATTTTACCCAACGCTTGGATTTTGCCCGGAGTTGGATATGTTGTTCCCTATCACAAGACACGTCTTTTTCCGGCATTGGCAAGTTCACCCGAAATTTTTCCCGCGCGCTACAGCGTTGCCAAGTTGAAAACAGGCACATTCCGTAAGTGGCATTAAAATTGAGCTATGAAGTTGCGGTTTTAACGAAAATTCTCTAAAAATTACGCACTTTTAGGATATGACCATGTTTTTAATGTCGCATTAATTTTAACATGCATTATTGCCAAATTTCCGATTTTTAAATTCGACAAATGCTACATATTCGCAAATACCCAAAAAAGCTATCTTCAAATTTGAATAAAAAGTTGTCTAATCGATAGTTCGTTTGATTTCGCATCCATCGATATATTATAGCTCGCTGGGAAACTTTTGGTTCGCGAGATATCATCATTTTTGTGAACAGCTTTATGGAGCGACGACGCTTTTTGAGTCCGGGCGGATAGAAATTTTAGCCTCCAAAAACACCGGGTAGCATTAATTCCATGGTTTCCTATGTAATTTTTGGCGCTGAATCCGAATTTGACCATTTCATAAAAAAATTGTCACCAAGATGTTGCCAAATTTGGCAAAAATTGCTTAAAATCGGCCTTTTTGGCGGATTGTAGCCTGTGACTTGCCAGGAGTTGATCAGACGACAAAATTGGTTATTTCCACAGTTAAAACTCGTTAAACTATCTACAAGCTGAGTCAAATTCTTTCTGCTCACGGTAAAATTAAACGCGCGACAAGCAGCAAACTGAAAAAAAGACACCAAAATTGGCGCTTTTTGCGGTTTTTGTCGTAAGTTTCTTGTTTTCCGATTAAGAGAAAATTAGGAAAAATCCTAATTACGCCGAGTGTAACGACAAACTATTGTATTGTTACATATATAGATAAAGAGCCGCTTTAACAGCGGTCTCTCGGGCCCCGCGACGCCTAACCGCCATAGTCCCTTGTCCACCCACAGGTCCTCAGTAATTTAGAGCGCCCTTGTTCCTTTTTAAGCCCCTTATTGTCCTTTCCTGGGCGTCTTCTTCAGTTTGGTGTCGTTACTTTTTTCTATTAAACTCCATTATCTCAGAATTATAAAATAAAATTGTATTCTAAATATAGGGTAATGAATAATAACGGTCAAATACCGCCAAAATTCAACGATTTGTACGTAATTTTGGCAATATTGCAATGCGTCTTGTCTTGTTTTAATGAAGTCTGTCTGAGGAGTACATTTTATTCATTAATTTTTAACAGAAAATTTTCCATTATTGTTTCAAAATGTGGTTTATTGACACGATTCGATAAAACTCACTATTTTATGAATTTTTCCTCTCTGAACTAAATACCCTAGTTATTAGTATATATCTAAGTTGAAAATTAAATTATTCTACAGAAGTGTATTATTTTGCAAGAGAGATACATTTATAAAATTTAAAAATAAGAGGTGAACAAAGAATATAGGACAATAATATCGAAAAAACCAGCGAAAATTAAAGTATTTTGTTTAAGCTTGGCAACATTGGAATATGTTCGATCTTATTTTATTGTTCAATTTTATTAAATTCTGCTCATGTTGTTCATTAGTATAGTCAAGAAACATTCTCTTAATCGGAAAACAAGAAACTTACGACAAAAACCGCAAAAAGCGCCAATTTTGGTGTCTTTTTTTCAGTTTGCTGCTTGTCGCGCGTTTAATTTTACCGTGAGCAGAAAGAATTTGACTCAGCTTGTAGATAGTTTAACGAGTTTTAACTGTGGAAATAACCAATTTTGTCGTCTGATCAACTCCTGGCAAGTCACAGGCTACAATCCGCCAAAAAGGCCGATTTTAAGCAATTTTTGCCAAATTTGGCAACATCTTGGTGACAATTTTTTTATGAAATGGTCAAATTCGGATTCAGCGCCAAAAATTACATAGGAAACCATGGAATTAATGCTACCCGGTGTTTTTGGAGGCTAAAATTTCTATCCGCCCGGACTCAAAAAGCGTCGTCGCTCCATAAAGCTGTTCACAAAAATGATGATATCTCGCGAACCAAAAGTTTCCCAGCGAGCTATAATATATCGATGGATGCGAAATCAAACGAACTATCGATTAGACAACTTTTTATTCAAATTTGAAGATAGCTTTTTTGGGTATTTGCGAATATGTAGCATTTGTCGAATTTAAAAATCGGAAATTTGGCAATAATGCATGTTAAAATTAATGCGACATTAAAAACATGGTCATATCCTAAAAGTGCGTAATTTTTAGAGAATTTTCGTTAAAACCGCAACTTCATAGCTCAATTTTAATGTCACTTACGGAATGTGCCTGTTTTCAACTTGGCAACGCTGTAGCGCGCGGGAAAAATTTCGGGTGAACTTGCCAATGCCGGAAAAAGGCGTGTCTTGTGATAGGGAACAACATATCCAACTCCGGGCAAAATCCAAGCGTTGGGTAAAATCGCCGATTTTGAATAACCCTCTTTGGCAACTTTCGGGTGTTCTTACGGCGTCTTCCTTAAGCACGGTAGAATTGGTGGAAGAAAGTGTTCTCGAGGGCGAGGGCATTACATACGCGGAAAGTGAGAGAACAAGAAACACTCCTACCAATGATCAGAGAATAATAGAATAAGGATCGTTTGGACATGTGTCAAGAGAGGACTGCATGAACTGTGAGAAAACATGAAGTATGGCCTACCTCGCTATTGAAACCGTAGCCGTTAGTTTACGGATTGTTCCTCGTATCTTCATTAGCAGACCCCTCACCACTTTATAGTCTCAACAAAAAACTATAGCCGTGCTGTTAGGCAGTTTCAAACTGAAGAAAGTTACTTGATTTACGCAGAGATATTTTTGAATTTGCCGCCGGAAAGAAATTCTCTTGCATCGAGAGTAAAAATCTTTGTTTCTTTGTTTTATGCACGTGTTCATAATTGCTTTAACATGGTGTCTACTAAAACAGGCTGATCCAAAATAAGTGCTTTTACAGTACTTTTTCAGTACCTTATCAAGAAATTCAGTACCTCCTCCGACAGAAAAATTCCGTTCTTTTTCAGTGCCTCCATTTAACGAAATTCGAAAAATTTCAAAAATTTGAAATTGCGACAAAAATGTCAAAAAATTAAAAAATTCCGGACCTTTCCGCGGAATTTCCGCACTTTTTGAGTACTTCTGGACGACCCTTAAAAAATCAGTACTGTTTCCGGACTTTCCGGAAATTCCGGACTTGTAGACACCCTGTTTAACAAAGCTGGACCATTAACAACTAGAGCCCTATACGAAGAAGGAAATACTGCTGTATCTCTTTGTAGCGTTACAAAAAATAACGTTTTCCTGGAAAAAACGTTTACTTTTCAAGTCCCGGACACTCGTTCTCTGTACAATGTTCCTAGCAATTATTCAAAAATCCGCATCGTCACGATTGAAAACCTGGATCAAAATTGAGTCTATTTCTGATAAAAGGACGTAAAAGACCAAAAACTCGTGATCCCTAGCGTCGTGGGTAATCAACAAAAGCCAGGACTCATGAGTTTTAGGACTTTGCCCGCCTAACAGAGCCCGATTCAATTGGGGTATGTGAAAATGACGAGTTTGTCTAGAAAAATACGATGACAGCTGAAAAAATCTAGGGCCATCAGCCCATAAAGAGGGTTCAAACGGTACATACCTGGAAAACCAAGTATCCACTATCATACATCCAAAATGACGAGGCATGATCTCCAACCTCCTTGGACGGACTCTTCGATTGAGTTTGTTGATTCTGGAGGAGACCTCTTTTGACTAGGGTGATGGCCAAGTTTCTTTGGAGGATCCACGAGCATCTTGATCCGACTCGGGGTGCCCTACCACCACCCCCTCCACTCCTAATACTCATGGTTCACATTGATCCTGCACAAACGAAAAACATCAACTAATTAGTCAGGTCATACAATGAAATCATAACTTATGAAAAAGCGGGAGAGTGAAGATGTTGGATACATGACACTTTTTGTGGTGTGTGTTTTAAGTTTTGAATAAAACTTGACACACGACGATGGCTATTTTGAGTTTAGCGTGGAGTTAAGAAAATTTTTTCGGGTGACTCATTTGTATCAAATTATGTAATTTGCGCTGTATAATTTTTGAAGATCTCAGCTAAAAAAAAACACGCACGATGCTTAAGAGGATTGTAAAGTTAGGAGTATATTTCAGACTTTTTTGATGTTTCAATCACGATTTTCAGGCAATTCGGCATAAAGAATAACTTTACGCTCTAGCAAGAGTTTGCACTGTTGGTAGATAGTGCTGAAAAATTATCACTTTCTCCATTTAAACCCATGTAAAACATCCACATTTTTTGCACAATCTGGCAAATTTGATTCGCAATAAAAACTGTAATAATACTTGGACTTGCCGAGAATATTTTCCCCTCTAATATTGCGAGTACAGTTTACAACACTGCTTTTTATCCATTTGAACATGTGTAAAACAATCGATTTTTGCTGAAACAGGTTGCGTCAACTAGAATCGATACAGTGTTGCTAGTTGTTTGTAGATAAAGAAAACTGAAAACCTCAGCGATAACAAACCGTCAACTACGAAATTAATTAGGTTATCAATGAAAAAGTAGCGCACGAGGTTCAAAAATTAGGTTAAAAATAGTGTCACACGCCACATGGCCTAGAACCTCTCACACACTGGCAGAATAGTAGCGGGGGAGGGGGGGGGTGTCGAAAATATAACTCAATAAAATCAAAAACGGATGTGGCACAACGCAAGTATAATGCAGAATTCATAATTAGCTTTTAATTTTGTGTTTTAAAAGTCATTTTTCATCTCTGAGCCACGTGCGACTAGGAACAGTTATAATCGTTCGGAGACTTAAACGCAAGGATAGCAATGCGTTAGACTCATGACATACTCCCCAACCTCACTAAGCTTCGTCCGGTGATGATTCAACAAATCGAGTGAGGTTGTTCGAGTTCATATTTTTGGCTTGTCAGCAAAATTCTGATCTATCCATAAGGTAATGCCCTCAATGGGCTACTTCCTGGGTCATTTTAAAAATTTAGCAGAAAGCGTGCTCATCATCTAAAGGTTATTTTACGACGGTAGCCGCAAAAAACACCAAAGTTGCATAAATCTCTAGAACGAATTATGACATATAAATGAACAATTACATAGTAGATATGTAAATAAATGGTGAGAATTTACAATTTTATCGTGTGATATTCAAGATATGGATCATAGTTTAAAAGTATAAAGAGAATGGGCTGACAGGTTACCTGTCAAAAGCCGCAAAAATCATAGAAATTGGCTCTGTATAGATTGTGAAGATGAACTATGATAAAAACGAGCTTTGGATATCGTCACCTTCCGACCAAAGGATCACAAACACCTTAGCTGCTGGCACTGTGTTGCCAGACTTTTCAAAATTTTCCAATTTAACGGAAAAACTAATGAACAGAATCACTTGAAAAGCTTTCTCAATATTTATTTTGATAACAAGAGTAATCGGTGAAAGTTTATTTTAAAAAAGTGCAAAATTCTTAGAAAAAAATTAAAACGCTCAGAGGAATATTCTGTATACACGATATGCTATGAAATTGAATTATTCCTCCTTGAAAAAATAAAGAGGAGCGGAAATATTGAAACACTACAATGGATATACGTGCTTTCGCACTTAGGCCAACGATGTGCACTATTTGGACTACATTTTGTGATCAGGAACCCTTTGGTTAGAGTTAATTTTAGAAACAACATTTTCATCAGTTTCCCTATAAGCAGATAGGTTCTAATATCGGATAGGCGAGAACTCGTAGCCCCTCCTTGCGAAACGTTGTCTTTCTTTGTGTGCGAATCCAGAAGGAAAGCGCATACGTGCGAGTTTTAGAAAAAAAATTAAAACGGTTATCAGCAGAATATTTTGTACACATTTCAGGCTAAAAAGTTGGCTTATTTCTCTTCGAAAAAATGAAAGAGGAGCGGAAATTTTGAAAAATTGCAATTCAGATACGTGATTTCGCCGTTCGGCCAGCGATGTGCATTATGTACTACATTTTGCAATCAGGAACCACAAATTCGAGCTCATTTAAGAGACAACATAAATGTAATTGATTCCCCTATGCAATGGAGTTTGTGCAAATATCAGATGGGCGAGAATTCGTAGCCCCTCCGTCTCCTCGCAAAACTTCGTTTTTTTTTGTGTGCGAATCCGAGAGGGCAAAGTAAAAGCAACAAAATTGGAAGGACCCAATAAATCGCTCCGGCGACCACTACCCACTGTCCCCAAAATTTCTCCCAATAAACCTGACGAGAGCAAACACAGAAACACCATCTCATTTTCACGGTGGTTCGTGTGGGCGCACGCGCGCGCGGTCTCAACTTGGGGCTCCCGCGTCACGTCGTTATTTCGTCGTTCCGCCGTGCGAAAGGCCATAACCGACTTTCGAGATGAACCCTGGTTTCCGCATCATCCTATACTCTCTGGGGCTCACATGGAAATGAAAAAACGCGGAGCCACGATTTGGCGCGGCGAGGTTGGTCGTGACGGGGAGCGGTGTCGGGGAAGGGGGGGGGCAGGGGGGNGAGGGGGCGGGAAGAGCAAAAAGTTTGATTACTCGACGGTGATAATAATTGATAATTAACACTCCTCAAGTTCGGCCCGGGAACTAAGAAGCATGGCAAACAAAGATAACTTCAACCATTTTGGGTTGGGCCTCGCTACCTCTATACTGCCGTGCCGAGGAAAAACGACGTATTAGCCTTCAGGTGTTGCCAAATGTCCTTAGATAAATCACCAATTTTCAGGATAATTCGTGAGCATTTTTCCTCCAATTTTTCAGATAATTTTATTCGCAATTCCACCTAAAATTCCTGACCATTTCAAAGAAAAATATTCATAGCTTTCCTAAAAAATAAACATTTTGTGGCAAGAAATTTGGCAACGCCCGAATGTTCATACGGTGTTCTTCCTCAGCACGGCGGTATACCGAGGATGATCTCCTAGTGTCTCGATTGGGGGTACGTAAGAACCGTGCGAACTTGCCAGAGATCCAACACTTGACTCGAAGACAATCGGACGACTTTAACCAGAATCAGCATAATTGCATTTCACGTTGCATAACTTCCTCTGATTAAATAACATTACGCCTTGAAACTGCATGTGAATTTTCTCTTCTTATGAAATTTAAGCTGGATTTACTTAGTTTTTTTGTTTAAAAAACGAAATATGAGAGGCTAAGCCACTAAATGCAGCTAGGCTGATTCTGATCTTTGTCTAATTACGAAGTACGTTAAGCAGACAGAAACCAAATCATATTTTATTAAAATGATTTTTTTTTGTGATGAATACGAAATTTTTACCAGCATATAGTTTGAATAGAATTCAACAGGAAGGATGTTTCCTGTGTATTGGAGTTAATATAAAGGGACGCATTTGTGTACAAGTTCATACTGCTAAACTTGGTTTATTCCGAGAACATGTTCAAGTTTTTACCAGACCATGCTGAAATGGAGTAGCACTGGCCTCCATGATTTTCAGCGCTGAATCCATTTATGGCCTTAAAAATATCAATTACTCAGGTTCACGAGAGATTTTGGGAGGTCTTGGATCTTGCAGGGCAAAATACTCAGAAAGCCCCCACCCCCTACCCCCTTAACTTGAAATATTGACATTTTTAAGGTCATGGATGAATTTAGCGCTAAAATTATGTGTTCGAGCCATATTTCAAGACTTTTGGTCGGTAACCGTTGCCAAAATGTTGGAAATATCGATGATTTTCCCAAAATATTGGGAAAGTCTCTTCAGGGAGACCTTTCGGAAGAAAACATTACAGAAAATAAATGTCCGACCTTTACTTATATAACACGCTTCTACACTGCCGTGCTAAGGAAAAACGCCGTATGAACATTCGAGAGTTGCCAAATTTCCTCAAATAAAATGTTTATTTTTGAGGGAAAATATGACTCTTTTTCCTTTAAATTTTCAGGGACTTTAGGTGATATCGCAAGAAAAATTACCTGCAAAATTGGAATGAAAATATTCTTAAGTTAACCAGGAAATCCGTGTTTTATCAAAGGAAATTTGGCAACACCTGAAGGTTTATACGGCGTTTTTCCTTAGCACGGCAGTACAGTATTGTAATTTTAACCTTGGACACCCTGTACTGTCTCTAACAGCCGCCCCCATTTTTCGCCCTAAGCAACCTCTTTAAAGCATCCGTACTCTCTTCACAGGCACTCTAGGCACTGCCGTATCAGTCAAAGAGGATAATTAACTTGTCAGTAGTTTCACACCGCGGATCGGGACAAATGGACGTATTTCTGCCAAACGTAACAATGTGCACTCAGACATGAGCCCTGAGACCCCTAAGAATACATACATAACAGGGCTCACGTCATAATTCACAAAGTTCCGTTTGGCAGATATACGTCCATATGTCCCTCGGTTGTAGGAGTTGTTCATGGATGCAGGCGATAGACTTCTATAAAATAATATATGCAGTGAGAGTGAGAGATGAGGCAAGACGCATTTTAGCACCTCCTCCGTAACCACGTGTCAAAAAAGTTCGGGAAGAAGACTCCGGCCCGGAACTGGCTGTCCGTCCGTGTACACCGGCCTCGTATCTAACATCATACTTATTGTGAACTCCTCATCCCGTTCTCGGCGTATGTAAAAGAAACAAGCTCGTAGTTTCGTGTTCTTGCCTTTTCTTCCGCCACGTCATGTCTCACATAGACGCACCGCGGCAGTTAATCATTATTTCACTTTTAGCCATGTCGCCCGCAATATTGCCACATCCATTCCCGAGTATCTTCGTTCGCGAATTGACGTCATACCGTCGTTTCCTCCACGAAAGAACGTAACTCCTTTTCAACCTTGCCAAATTTCCCCTGCACTGGAAAAA